TCTTTTAATGGAATCGACAGGAATTGCCTGGGGAGGACGGTTTATACTTGAACCCTTCCCATTCATTTCCACGACGCACTCGTATAATCTCGAAATGCTATCAGCCGTATCTTAATCTTGTTTTGTGCACACAGAGAATAGGTACACGATGATCTCTCCTTATTACACCACAAGTGTCATCGAGAAGCACGAGATAAGTACAGGAGCGAGAGTGCATGTGTGTGTGTTGTGTGTGTGACAGAGAAAACACGAAAGATGGCGCGAGAGCAGAAAAAAGATGGAATAGAGGAGCTACATACACACCACCAACACCAAGTAACAGCAGCGCACAGTGGAGGTAGAAGCGGGGCCGGAAGTGGTTCCATCTGGCTCCCCGGTTGGTCTGACCTGTTGAACCACCTCGTGACCGGAAGTATACCATACACCTACGGGGCACCATGGTCGCCGTAGCGTCTCACTGTCCCTGCGGTGCACACACCACGAAGAAAACAACAAAGGCTTCTTTCTGCCGTTGTGTGACACCTTATCACTTCTTTGTCGCGTCGAGGGCTGTGTTTACTTGATTACGCCCGGCCATGATTTTTCTCTTCGTTCGAGCATTTACCACCACCTTTATACACATTCCCTTATCCTGTCCTTCGGATACGAAATCGGCGCATTTTGCTGAATCGTGACAATAAGTCGAAGAACCACGAAGGTTCTAAGAGGAATCTACAATGGAGATTCAGGTTAATGTAATTGAGACACATCGGGAGTAGGGATAACGTAAACTACACTACTTTGTGAATCCACGAGTAATTCGATTCACGTTTGTTCCTGATTGATCACGGTAATTTTTCAAAGTGATTTGAGATTTTTCGCGATCGTTTTCGATTGGTGAAAATCATCAACAACAGTTCTTTGCACACGTGTCACGTAACTTGTATATTATATATTAACGATGTCGAAATAGAAATGCGGGTTACATCGTGTATAAAGTGAAGGAATTAATGAGGAATAAATGAAGAATAATAAATAAATTAATGATTATAAATTACAAGGGTATGTTTAATTTAAAATTGAAATTAAATTAAAATTAAATTAAACAGTCAGGATCACGGTCGTGATTGAAATCGAGCTATGGAAAGGGAATCCAAGAATTTTACAAGCACGCAACGTCACCGAACTGTCCTCGACACCGTAATACATATGTATAGATATACGAGCCGAGCGCCATTGCCTTCGACACTTTGCGGGGCCAAGCGCTGCCTACGAAAGCAAAATAAAGGGGGTAAGAGAAAAATGCGCTTCGCGCCGGGGGAACAATGGGGGGATGTCGATGCGTGGCCCCCGAGACAGGTCCGTGCCGGAGGCATTATGTTCTGAGTACAAAGGCTCGCGGCGTGGAGCAGCGCACAGTATGCACGCCGCAATAATCTGTCGCCCCGTATATACTTATTACGTTTTGTTCAGAGGAACAGGGAGCGGTGGGAGGTGCTGGGAGAGAGGGCAGTAAGAGGTGGGGTGTGCATCGCACCCCATCAGGTTTTTGCAACGAGTGTTACGTCAGATCGTGCGGCCCAGGAGACTTTTGCGTATTACGAGTGTGGGGCGGGCAAGGCCGAAAGAACCAGGAAGGGTGACACATTGAGGAACAGTCTCTGGCTTAGTGGGCGTCACAGCTCCGAAGTTTACGGACAAATCATTGCACAAGTACTTATTGCTTTACAAAAGAGGGAGAGAGAGAGAGAGAGAGAGAGAGAGAGAGAGAGAACAAAGATGCGTACGAAACATTAATCATACAGTAAATCGTCTATGAGTGTTCGGAGGCTCTTCGGCAACTGAACACTAAATATTTTATAAACTAATGGCCATATGCGACTGAAACAAAGATCATTGGCTTCAGAATTCCAAGCTCTATCACTGCGCTAAACCTCATTAAAAAGTGAACGTTACACCTGGAAACTCTCCTTGACAGTGCCGAGGATCCTTCGAACCCTCATCGAGGATTTACTGTATTACAAACTTCGAATGAATCAAGTCTCACGTAACCCAGAAAAGTTCGAACGTTCTTCGACTCCTCGTGGTAAAAAACCACATACCCGTAAATACTATTCCACGCCCTGGAATCACACCGCACGAAGAGAAGTAATTTTACCTCGGGCGAAATCATTGGATCGAGATCTCTGCTGTAATCAAATCAATCCGGGACCCGGACAATCCCGCGGGGCCCTGGGTTGTGTTCCAGTAACCCTTTCGACTCACGACAGTGGCGGCGGTGTCCGTCGTATCCGCGGCGCGCGTAAGAAGCGTAGGTAATACGCTTAAAAAGAAGGGTATGACGTCACGAAGAGGTGGCACGCGGCGCGTGCCGTCGATGGGGTACGAGAGTTATCGTGGTGGCTCGTGGAACAGAGACAAGAGACAAGCAGGGGGAGTGTAACCGGCGCAACGTGCAGCGACGACGAGAGGAAAAGAAGAAGAAGCAAAAGAAGCAGGAGAAGCAGAAGAAGAAGCAGAAGAAGCAGGAGACGCAGAAAAGCCTGTAGAGAAGGAAAAGGGGGAGGGGGAGGAAGAAGAGACAGGCGCCCCGAGGAGTCTACGACAGGCGAGCAGGCAGGCAAGAAGTCCGCACGAGTGTGGCTGGGGTGTCGTACAGGGGCTCCAGTGGTGGGGGTGGGCGCGTGCAGCCGGCCTGCAGCTGCCTCTTTACCGATCCCCTTTCTCCTCACGATCCCTCGCCACGAATTCCCCCGTACCCCTCTTAGTGGCTCCATACTACGGTGCCACTGGCGCAGCCGCTACCCACCACCACCACCCCTCAATAGTTGGTCCAACCCCTCCCGCCGGGGACCCGGCGGGACCATAATTATAAGTAGGGGTGCTGCCGGCTTACTACCTCCAGTCGAGGGTAGCACGCCGTGGAGTAGACGCGCGGTACACGTATCGCTGCCTTCTAAACGTTCTAGCACACGCGTGTGTACACATACACACATAAATAGTTAAACGATACAAGAGTTTCCAATACGTGAGAGAAAGACAGCCTGTTCAGTTCACGCTGAACAGCATCGTGGTGTATAGAGACAGAAAGTAAACCGGAAACATTAAAGCGCGCGCAAATCGGCCTGCCCGCGCGAGAGATTCGAGTTCTACGTACCTACAGTCATTGTGCACGAACCTACCGAGATCGGACTCCGCCATCTGTCGATCGCTCCTGCAGTGTGAGTTTCCGTGAGAGGAGTCGTCGATGTGACAGTGCTTCACGGTGTAACCGCGGTGTGGCGCTAGTGTTGCCTGTTAGTGGCGCGCAGAAACGCGGTTTCGGTCGGTGAGGTTCACTGCCGCTATGGCACTCTAAGAAAGAGTAGGATATACGACGTGTGTATATTCGGAAGAAGGAAACTACCAGACACAGAGTGAGACAAGCTGTGTTTCCTTTGTGTGTGCACGTACAGGAGGAACGTGTACACACTATACACGCAGACGAGTCGAGGAGGCAGATAGTACTTTCACAAGGATAACACACGGGCTCACGGCGCACCGGTGGTACACGAGCAAAGGGGCGCATCTGTGGATCCCAGTAGTAGTTCAGCTGCGGAGTGGTGCCATACGTGCCGGTTCCTCTCTTCGCGTGGTATTTCTCCTTCTTTCCCCCCTTCCTTATACCCTACGAAAAACTTCCCCTCTTTCTCATACTCGAGGCAAGGCGCATTGACTCTTTCCCGTTCGTCTCTTTGACTCTCGTCACACACGACGAGAGGGTATCCTCGCTCCACCTCCACCTTCGCCTTTTCCACCACCACCGCTACCCTTCTCTTCTTCCTCCTACTATTTCTCCTCCACCGCGAGCACCCCACTCCTGTTCCGCTCTTGCCGGTCGCGCAGCAGAGGGAATATTCCTTACGGTTCGTCGACGACAGTCAGTGCGCGACTCGTCGTTGTTGCGACGGTTGGCGAGCGGAAAGTGGTTTTTTATATGCGTGCGTTTTTTCGTGTGATCCCGGTGGAAAAAAATTATGCTCGTGGCGAATCGTCGTGCTCCTCGTCGACGTAGTGGCTCGTGCGCCTCGAACAAACACTGCACACGAGCGTAGCAGTGAGATAGATATTTTTTTTTTTCGGAAGAAAAATCTAGTTGTACGCAAAACGAGCCGACGAGATCATCGGACAAAGTATACACAATCTCGTGTACACACCAGGCCCCCTATTAGAGCGCATCGAAGGAAGCCCAGCAGGAGGACACCGAAATATATCCCAGGAGAATATATACACATATATACAGAAAAGGACAGGCGCTCGACCGAGAAAAGGATCTGAGAGAGAGAGAGAACCCGTTTGTTTTTCCTAATTATCCTACGCACGACAGTATTACCATCCGATACCCTGGACGAAGCTGTTCGACGACTCTCAGCGTCCCACGGATAAATGGAATAAAGTGTGTCACAACAAGTGTTCAGTGATCGCGCGTGATTTTCATATATTTATATATATATATATATATATATATACATATATATATGTATATATTTCGCCGCGGCATCCGTGAATACCACCGATTTACCATCCTCGGATACGTATATACCCATTCTTGTAATATTTGCCAGTGTATTACCAGTGCGACAAGACAGAGAAGTGACGCGAGTTAACTTCGTTCGTTTTCGTTTTTTCTTCTTTGGTTTATTTTTTTTTTTTTTTTTTTGTTGGTTCTCTTCTCTTCCTCTGTAATTCACGGCGAAAGAAAAATTCGCCGGGCAAAGTTCTACACCTTCTACACACGAGGATTACGTATTATTTGCAATCGTGTTCCGAGGAATCAGGAGGAAGGAAGGTACGACTGTGCGCGCGTGTTCACACACCTCGTTAGGGTTTATTACGGTGGCTATGCAGCAGCCTCGCGAGATCAACGCGAGGAGGTAACGCCGCGACGAGCCACGCTAGGGCACCCACCGGGTCCACACACATCCGCCCGTACAACGCACCGGCGGCGTGTAAACATCGGAATCGAACCAACCCGCCGAAACATGTGGACCACGATGCTCGTGTGGACGGTCGCCGTCGTGCTTTTGCCAGCACCTCGAACGGTAAGTGTTAATTTTTGCTATCCCATTTCCGTCCGAACCTTCGATTGTCTCTCGATTCAACGGACGAAGAAGCGAACGAACAAGTTCATCATCCACCCGTCTTCTCGAAAATTAAAACTCTCCGTGACGTTAAATTTGTTTAGGAAAGCAAGACAAAAATTCGTATTATAAAGATGGTCGAAGGTTGGAAATATTTCCCGTGTATTTTTAGTATACCATCCGTGGAACGCGCGCGCGCGCTTGCGAATGCTGCAAAATGGTTTTCCTTTTTTAAACACCCCGAGACTCTTTTTTAACTCGCCGCCTCTAGCGGAAAGATCGCACGTGTACGCACACTTCTTTTCTGTTTGCCGTAACACGAGCTTAAGGATCGGCCCTAACAGAAACATTCAATATCGGTTTACGATTTCGTATTTTTCTTCACTATTCCGACGGGAGCTCCGCAACTCAATTATCACTTTAGTTCCGGCCTCGTAGAACACAGGCCTATCCTCGACGGTTTTTTTTTTTTACCGTGAATTTGGTCAATCGAAACAGTGCCGCGGGAACAGAACGGAGAAAACGGAACTGTACTCATATAATCTGTGCGGAAACACGGTATACCTACACCGAAAGGATTATTTTGTGAACGGATCTACGGTATCGTGAGTGATGTTGTCAAATCCTCCCCCCCTCTCGATGTGATACGTTTGTCAACTCTCGGGGTCCCGATCGTAGTCCGACCTTCGTCGGCTGTCGATGAATGGCGCGGATGTGTTTTGGTTCGGGATTCCAAGACGTTTCCCCGTCTGTCAAACCGGTCGGTCGGCCGTGTAAGCTCTGTTGGTATTTATGGATAAAAACGATGACACGTCGATGGGCTCGTTCAGAATAGAATCCCTCGGTCTATATATTTACCGTCTGTCTCACTCTCTCTGTCTCTCTGTTTTACGCTCGCCGCTCACACACGTTCTTTCCCGCTTCTAATTAAGTACTTGCGTAAGTTCGATCGCCGGCTTATATTTATCGTGCTCATATATCGGCGAGCGTGGTAAAATTCTATATGACTGCTTTCCAATTCTTAGCGCGTCGATCTTCCAGCGATTTCATGAAATCGTAATTGGTAAAACGTTACTCTCTCGAGATTGCGTGCGCACCGCTAGTGTAGTTTCGTTTCTTTTTTCCCCTAGTCATCCCACGCGGGTCCAACTGTATTCTTCCTGGGAGAGATGTTTCTCTCTCTCTCTCTCTTTCTCTGTTCAGTTCACGCGGGGCCACCCGTATCTCCGTCTGACACACACACCAAGCAGACCTCGAGCCATCCGCAGCCGCGGCTCTCGAAAGAGAAGTAAAGGCAACAGTATTCGCCGCGTACAACTCTAAATCTGGATCCACTCTTTTAGAAGTGTCTAGAGCCGGTGTTCTCTTCTCCATCTCGTCTGTGCCTCTCTCCTCAATGCCCGTGTTCGACGGGGCTCATTCCACCCAGTGTATCTTCTTTGTAACTTCTTTTCGATCTTCACCGAGGGACACCCTTGAATATCGTAACGAATCAGTCTTTGTTTCCTTCGAATCGTCTCGATCCATTAAGAGAGAAAGACAGAGAGAGAGAGGGAGAGGGGTGCAGGTCGGTCGACGGCTTTCTCAAAGGGTGTGTACCTCTGAAAATTGTTTTGTGACGAAATGACCGTCGGTTGTTGTATCCGTAAATAGTCGGCGGCGGCCATTCCCGTTCCAAGAATAGAGCTCCAGCGCGCCAAAAATGAGAATTCCTCATCGAGAACCTAAGAACGTGCGCGCGCCACTCTGTGTACACACGTACTTCGAGAAAATCTGTCTCTGCGTGTTGTGTTTAACGAGAGACGCAACGAGGAATATTTTTCTGTTTCTCGGATCTTACGACTCATAAAAACTTCTCGCCCCCGCGCACGCACACACAAACACACATACTTCTTTTACTGCTTGCAAAACGATCACTTGTGTGAATTGAACGCCGCCGCCGGCGGGAGCGAAAGAATTCACGATCATGAGAAACGATCTTCTTAATTTTAAAGCTGTAACATTAGACAGGTGAAAAGGCTCTGGATGACACGTCGAAAATTGGTAACAGTTTGGTGGTGGTGGGACGGGGGTGTAATGGACGGTGCGGTGGGTGACCAGCGAGATCGTAAAACGATCCGCAGGCTCGATAGTAAGGTTAGCGCACCTCCTTCTCGTTCACTTGAGACACGATATATATGTATAGTTTTGCTTGGCTATACAATGTCTCGTGGGAAGGCTCGGTTCTCTTTCTCTCTCCATCGGTGCTGCCGGCTGCGTGGCCTGTCTTCTCCGTCTCTTTGTCTCTGTTGTGTACTTGCACGTTATGTCTGTGTGTGTGTGTGAGCGCGTAAAATCGTGTGTCGATGGTGCGTGTGCGTGCACATAGCCGTAGGCCATTGTCCACACAACACAGTGGTCAAGAAACTCTTGGTCGTATGTATAAGCGCGGAGGGACACACGAGGGGTAGGAACCGGGAGAAATATTGACGCAACGGCTCTGTTTACACTGGATACTGTCGCCAAAGAAAAACGGTCCCCTCGATCACCGGGACGACGAGAAGAGACGGTCTCTCGAGAACTAAAAAGATCTTCGCGAAACTCATGAATTTCTCGCGCGGAATCGGGTAGAGGCGATCTACCGCGTGGACGCTGAGCAATAGGTTAGTGTTCGGCGCTGAATGTTTGAAAGATCCCCATTTTATATGGTAGTGTCTCGAAATACCATCGAATCAATGTGTATATCACACGCGGTCGCTTTATTTCACACGGGCGGAATGTAACCGATGTCCTTTCCGAAGTCATTACAAAGTAACCACCTAGAATATTATACGTTTCGTCGGTCCCCTTTCTTTTTCCGTGTTTCTTTCACGGTGCAAAAACATCAAGCGCTATACAACCACCGCGGATCACCACCTTGAATTGAACTTTATGCACGGTGAACAAACACACCGTCGTCGTCGTCATCATTCTCGTGGACAGTCGCGATTAATTCGTACGTGAAACGTTGGGGGAACCGGTAGTGTATGGTACGTTAATACGTTTACGACTGGTTCCAACGCCTTCGTTCATTTTTTCTTGTTTTGTTTCTTTCCCCTCGAAAACGCCCCTCGTGTTCCACGTTCATCGGTGCCGCTCGACAGCAACAGCACGCGTGGCAAAATGTCCATCTGCGCTTCTGCATCCCCCCCGTCCTATCCTCTCTCTCGCCGTGCGTACTGTCGTGAGTGAAATGAAAGAAAAAAAAAGCACTTTTTGCTGGGTCACTCGCGCAGATATCTCCACACGCTCCTCCTGGGAGACACGCGTGCGCAAAAACGCGCTTACACACGTGCTGCTGTCTCGGTCGGTCGCGGCGTGTTGTTCGGTCGTTGGGCACGAGGCGGCAGCGACCCCCGACGTTGAAGAGATCTGGCCAAGTTTGTCACGATTGGCCGTCTGTTTTCAGTAGATCTCCGCCGTGTCGGCTCTCCCTTGTAATCTCGCGTTCCCGCGACTGACAGTTCGGGGAAATAAGTAAACCGAGAAAGTCAGTCGCCGCATCTGTTGAACAACAGTTGCGCGTTTTGCCGTTACCGATCAAATCCAGACCAGTTGTTGATCCGTCGAAAGTACGAGGGGGGTGGGCGGAAGGCGCTGGTGTCTGTCAACGAATCAGGTGCCCTCGAACGATATCTCTGTCCCTTAATGTGTACATATCGTGCGTTAATTCGTTTAGGCATGCCCGCAAGTATTACTTGTATTTTCCTCGTTGAACGTTCATACAAAGATTCGTGTTCGTTGTGTTTCCAGGTGAACGCCTCTGGGGTGTTCGAGCTAAGGCTGAAGTCGTTCGTGAACGAGTACGGAAAGGACAGTCTGGGCAAGTGTTGCTCGGGCAGCACGTCCAAGACCGGCGAGTGCTCGGGCGTTTGCAAGACCAGGTTCAGGGTATGCCTGAAGCAGTATCAAGTGAAGATCGACACGACGACGCCGTGCACGTACGGGGATGTCGTCACGCCCGTGCTGGGCGAGAACATCGTTAATCTGAGTCCGAACGTCGCGATGCCGAGCTTCACCAATCCCATCAGATTTCCGTTCGAGTTCACGTGGCCGGTAAGTGTGCAATTCTAAATAGTCTTCTGTTATATTGTCTGCTTGAGAAATAAACTGCGGATATACGAAATCTGATTGTTTAACACGTGTCCTGTCAAGCTTTATTATCACAAGGTGGCATTTCTTTGATTTCCGGTAGTTGCGTAATACATCCCCGGTCTATTCCGTAAAATGATAAAAAAAACTGTCCGAAGGTTATCTACCATTTCGGTGAGAATCACTTTAATCGATCGAAGGCTACGGCTGCGAATAGAGTTTTCTTGCGTTTCCGATTTTTTTTTTTTTTCTAATCACTCTCAGGTACATTAACAATCCGTTACCCGCGAAGTATGTAGTATTTTTATCGTGGCGGAAAAAAGTGGACACGGTTACATGTTAATCGCATTCGTAACCGCGTTGTATAAATTAAACATTGTCACCTCGGGATTTACGAGTATTCGTGAGGCAGAAAAAAGAGATACGGTTACACCAGTCTCTCTATCTCTCTCTCGTGTTAACCGCGATCGCAGATAATCGGAAAAATCGAGCGATTCTTCGACGTTTCCGTGCTCTGTTTTTTTTTCTTCCCTCCTTTTTGCGATCGCGAGACGATTACCATATTATCGCGTGTGGTGGCGTGGGACGCGACGCGAAAAATGGTCGAGGTAATGCAAGCGGAACTCGAGGCAGGTAACTGAGTAATGAATCTCTCGCGGCAAAAACATCGAATCGTTACTAATAGTCCGGTGACGCCTGCTAGATCCATTCTCTCACGTTGAATTTGCGAAACATCGATGGTATTACCGATTACAAAGTGTATGTATATAACACTCGGTCTCCGTGCCATCGCTGACGACGAATCTGTTGAGTACCATAGATAACCTAAAAGGAACAAAAGACAATTACGTCATCTTTAATGTCGGGAATTAGAGCGTGCCCCCTCCCTCCATTAGTGTTGTTCATCGAGTTGAACCAATTTACATTATTCTTTGTTTTCCTGTGTATCATATTTGTAGATACTACAGAGTGCAAATGTATGGAAAGGACACGTTCGTAAAAGTGTCCTGAAAGAAAAAAACACTAGTCTTGATTGCAGGGGAAAATTAAGATCTCTACCGGTCCGGATTTTAAAGAGAGGTATGCGTGCGCGCGTGAACACATCGAGGAGTAAAAATCCAGGTTGTATCTGCGATCTTCTGCCATCCACTTGTGTAGTTTTCCATGGTGGATTGTCTATCTAGAAGCTAAATTGCGACCTGGTTGACTGATTTCTTGCGCGGGGCGAGAGAAAAAGTGAGGCAACACCCTAGCGTGCGACCGCCTGTTAACTTTTATCTTCTAGTGTTACATACATTAACGTTCTTTCAAAAGAGCTTGTAAAGATCTCTGGTTTTTGTCGGTGTGTGCTTCCGGGTTTCCGTTCCAATCGATAAGAAACAATTGGAAAAGTAAATTGGCTGATTAGAGAGATCGTCTTTTAAAAGGGGGGACCCCGGTGTAATTTTCATTCGTGTCCCGTTATCGGAAGGAACAGCTATTCCGTTAACTGTTTCGAACTGTTCTCGACAAGATAAACATGGACGTTCAACGTATTCGTTCTTCGGTGTTTCTATTCGGTCACCAGGCAGATGTGAAATATTTTTTTCGAATTAATTAACGAAAATTCTGGGGAGAAGAGAAAAAAAACCAAAGGGACATAGCCCGCGCTCGAACGAAATTCAGGACTCTCCCCGTGTTTCTCTTCCTACTTTCTCGCCAAAGGAAGGCAAAGAGGCAGGGCAAGCAGGTCGGTAGCATTAAAAAACCAACAAACCACGGTGCACGCGTGCACATCACGCGTTTTTCGAGAATGCGACGAGAATCTGCTAGCCCCGAATGGCAGATGGTGACGAGTGGCTCGGAGAGAAGGATAGAGAGGGTCGCTTGGTGGGCACTTGTCCTCTCCCTTCTGGTTGTGTTGCTTCGCTTGTCGCCGTTTATTTCGATAATTCCGCCCCGGGCGCATAGGTGAAATCCGTGAATTTGTTATTTTCCCAACGCCGAAACCGTCGAATTACAAATATCAAACAATACAGTAAAATTGCAAATAAATTTTCTTCTCACCGTTCCGTATACGTCTGCGGTATAATCCGCAGTCTGGTGACGAGAGATGTAGAAACGGAACTATGATATTTAGATCAAACGGAATTCCCACTAAACGGTAACGGTTTTATTCGAGACATACGCAACTTAGATTCGTTGCTCCCATCCGATATATACCATTAGTCCCCACCCCCTGATGAGTAGCTCGTGTCTACGCCAATGTTTGCTCACCACCGTCCCTGGTGTACATACATCGGTTCTCCCGTCGCCGTTCGCCGCGTACTTCTGCCTATGAGACGCGACGCATTGCAGGGCCACTGGCAGATGGCTAGGCCTTTTGTGCTTCTACACTACACACTTCCCTCGTAATCTCTCTCTCTCTCTCTTTCTCTCTTTCTCCGTCCGTTCCCCCATCTTCTCGAAGCTCTCTCGCGGGCAGAGTTAAATTTACTAACCCATATGGCGCCCCTCGCTCGCGTTCGCGCACCACCTCTGGCGACCGGTTCGCGTCTTTTCGTTTCGAAAAACACCGTCTCTTACTTCTCTGTGTGTTCCGCCCCGCCCCGTGCCTTTCGTCGCCGTTTCCAGAGCCCCTAACACAATCGTTTCCCTTCTTTCTTGTCTTTTTTTTCCTCCTTTTAAACTTTACCCTCTTTCATTCTGGTCCTCCACGTAAACGGAGAGCATCGCTGTACCGCGTGTTTCATCTAGATTTCCCCAGAACTTTCATCTTCTAAATTGGTTCGTGTACCCTTATATCGGGTTAACCCCCTCAGTACCCACAAGCCGAAATACAAACTATAAATTCTGATACGATAATTGACGAAAGTATCATGTACTTCCGATATTTTTTATGTAATACAAAGTACACTTCATTAGAGAATACAAAAAGAAAAAGGTGTAAAGTTATCTTTATCTATCGAAAAAATGTGTTGATTTTAAACCTCTTGAAAATCGATTCAAAGGTATACGGTGCAACTTCATAAATCATTCGATAGCACAGTTAAAATAATACAAATAATTTATTTCCACGGATTCAAGGTCGACTCGCGATAACAGAGAATCGATCCTAATCAGTTTTCCGAGTCCTACGGTGTCACCGACGGTGGCCATATTGGATTCTCGCGAAACGCAACGATCACGTGGCCGAAGAAAATATATCATTACCATACATACCGACGAGCTTCTTCCAAACGGAGGAATCGATCCACGTTCGTTGAAATGTGTTTTATGCGAAATATCCTTGTAGACGCATTTTTCCCGCCCGTGATTTTCCGTTACCACCCTCGTATTTTTATCTCGTGTTGGTTTGTCCACGGTATCGGGCCGATATTAGCGGCTATATCAGGCGGACTCTCTCGACTAGGTGGAGACGGAGAGGGGTGGGACTCGAAGGGCCGTACCCGGTTCGGTCGGGGGAGAACAGGAAAAAAAAGTTGTTGCGTTCTCGGAAGAGAGGCTGGCCGGAATCCTGGGCCGTGAAGTTGAAGGCACCATCCAACCTTTGAATCCGGCCACGGTAGTCCCCGATCCGTCTGTGTTAGCGGGGAAAAGGGAATAGACGGCGACGGCGGCGTCGTAACGTGTAATCGCTATTCAGAGTGCCGGATTTATTTTCGTTGCGCCGGTGCGCGCGTGAGAATGAGCTTCCGTCGGGCGAAAAACCGCCGCCGCCTCGAAACCCCAATAACACGAACCGCTACGCCCCCGCGACAACTGCATAATAATCGATCACACACACACATATGGTACTTGTAAACATCTTTCACCATGTCGAACGATTACCACTGAATAGACTGCAGTAAATCCTCGATGAATGTTCGAAGGCTCCACGGAACATTAAATATTTCATACACTAATGGCGATACGCGGCTGAAACCAAATATCATTGGCTTTAGAGTTCCAAGCTCTCGTCGCTGTGCCGAGACTTATTAAAAACGTCAGCGTTACACCTGGGGTACCTCTGCTTGTCAGTGCTGAAAATCCTTCGAATACTCATCGAGGATTTACTGTATTTCCGTGGTATAAAGTGTTCGGTCGAACGAAAATGCTTGGAAATTACCAATTTTTACCCGTGATATGTACTATTTACAATGTAGAAGGGCAGTTCGAACATTCTGTAATTAAGGTGGACAGAGTAGCGCATCGAGGGGGTGGGGGGTGCTGGGGGAGGATGTTAAACGTGTGGTTTTCTTCGTCTTAACACCGTCAAGCATCTCCCACGCCGAAGGGGAGGGGGGAGACCGCTCGGAACCGCGGCGGTTCGACGTAACCGGAAACCGCTGATAATTACAGGAATTATCGCGATACACAGAAGCGAGAGCAACAATGTACCATTAGTAACAGTTACTGGGTGGGGTGAGTGTTTCTTCTTTCATTCGGCGCTTGCGAAAACCGGTGGATGGCAAATTGTTTCAGTTCGCGATTCTTCCACGCCCGGATTCTCCGGATACCCTTGCGTTAATTACCGTCTAGATTTTTGGAGGAGGGGAAATGTAGAAAACGGTGTGTGTTGTGGTGTCTCGTCTGGGGTTACCGAAACTCTCTCGGAAGAGGAATAGACGAGAGTAAGAGGAGAGACACGCCGTTGCGCAATCGCGTTCCGTCAGGGTACGCGCGTGTCTGCCGTTAATTAAGAGGCTGGAAAAGACAGAGCGCAGAGAGCGCCGCCGAGTGCTTGATACGTAATCGTAACCTTCGTCTCGTTGCATCAAGATCGGTAGGCCGCGGCTCCTATCCTCGCTTCGCGGCCGAGTTAATTGCTTCACGTTACCGTGCGATCACGGGCGCGCGCGCGCGCGCTACTGCCATCATGCTCGAGTTTATTAAAACAGCACGATCGCCGTTTGTGTGGACGTCTCCCCATTTCTCAACGCGATTTAAGACATGGCATACCTACTTGGTTCCTCTTTATTATAACCACCGATACATAAGAATGT